AGTAATATAGGTCAATGAAGAACATTTATTTTCATGTAATGTTGATATTGTGACATGTTGCAGCATTGGAGGCTTCTGTTGTCCTGTTAGGCAGAGAGAGCTCCCTAGTGGAGTGGTATAGCAAGAATGTGTATAAATGCAGGAACTGAGTATTCTGACAGTAGAAGTTACTACTACTGTTAGCATAGCTATGCCAACTCCCAAAGCAATGTAAGCTGACAAAAACACTCTTTTCATTATGTAGATGGAGTGATACCAGAGGATTATTTTTAGAGTAGAGTATGAGGGAACATGTATCTTTCCCTCTGTTTCCTTCCTCCCCGTCACCGTTCTGCTTGTCATAGCTATGCTAGCAGAAATCTGACTGGTGAATACTGATGCAGATGCCTGGTGGGAACAATCTGCCTAAGAATACCATGCCATGCAGAATCTTAAAATGAAATGTTCTTATCTGTGCCCATGGAGTGGCTGTGCCTGTTGAAGTAAGCCATGGCTCAAAATACTTGTGAAAGAAACGTGAGGATGAAAGATCTCAACAAAGTGTTTTCAGGGATGCTTATAAACGGTTGGAATGGGGTCAAGAGCTGTACAAGATGCCTTGTGGCTGCTAGACAATAATGAGTATACTCTTATTTTACAGAAACTGCTGGAGCTCAAAGTGCATGAGAAAAGTCCGCAGATAACTGCGTCTATATACTCAGTGTATACAAATGCATATAGATGATCAGCACTAATTTACCAGAATTCTGAATGTGTATAAAAGTGTAAATTAGTTTTTGATACACTGCCTCTTAGGATAGGTATGCTAACTTCTGCCTGTGGCAGTTTAAAAGCTGGAACTGAGTCCTCTCCTATTCAGTTTCGCTGCACTGTTCTTCTGTCTTAATCTTTTTTTATTTTTTATTGTGACTTGTTTAGTAATTTTAAAATTGTTCAAAATTGTAGTTTTAAATAAAGTTTGGACTTGTCTGTAAATTTGTCTTTTGAAAAATGTTTCTCTGGCTTACAGAACAGTATACAGCACTTATTGTTGGGAGTTCAGTCACTTTAGCTTTGCATTTCAGCACCTTTTTTTAGTGTTTAGCTGTTTGATAATCCAGTTCAAAGAAATACTATTAATTTTGTCAGGAAAAAAAAAAAGATTTTCCACTAAGCTTCTTCATCTTTTACAAGTACAGCCTGTACACATAGTATATACCTACACATTGCCTGATAGCATAAGCATTACTGGCATGTAAAAAATATTGCTGTTCATTGCCTGTGGAGTTTCACTCGGATAAATGTGCTGATAGAAATGCAGTAAATTACCTTTCTTGTAGATGACTTTAGAAACCATACCTATTTTTCTGCATTTCTTTTATACTGAAAAAGCATAAACCTATCTTAAAATTTTACTGTCTTTTCACATGTAACACTGAAAATTGCTGCAAATGAAAAACTGGAATTTGCTCCCAACGTATCTGACTTTGTGAAGGGTTTTCATGTAGAAAGGAAGAAATATTGGAAAATATTATTAAAGTTATTGTTTAACAAAGTCAAACAAAGCTGGTTAAAGTCAGCACCTAAAGAACTCGCAGCAAAGGCATAACTAGGGTTGTAGAAGATTAAGAAACTTGAAATAAATAGAACTAACTTTTTTCTTCACTTCTTTTGCAACTCTGATCCAAGCAAGAATACAAATGTTAACAGTAGGTCATAGAATTGAGCTATACATTGTAGCAGATACACTGAATAAACTATTTAAAGTCCACTTTATAGGAAAACAAGGCTTTTTTTTTTTTTTTAAGTAGTTTAAAGTAAAAAGCTGTGATCTTATAGTCAGAATTGTTTTCCTTTTGGGATAGTGTGCTAATATGGCTATGTGGTTTGAAAGAGTGATTAAGAAGGCCAGATATGCCTGAAGAAGCCCAAAGGATGAATAAAATGACAGTTTGATTATTGCTGTTTATTCACATGCTTTTGAAGTTGTGTGGTATAGTGTAGTTCAGAGAATTTCACTGTGATTTAAAAAAAAGAACTTTTATGAGGCTCTTGGAGTCTAACATGTAAATTGTGAAATGGCAGACTGGAGATGAGATATCTGATCATAAGGGCAAATCTATAGCAAAAGGTATAAAGATGAATTAGTTGTCATTCAGGTTGTAAACTCATGATTTTCCTGCATGCAGAAAAAACAGTTTTGAGGGCAAAGAACATATAATTGGACAAAGGCAAACCTGTGAAGATGATGGAAACAATGCTTTTAATCACTAATTTGGCACAAGAATCATTCAGTAAACCCAAAGCAGAACATGAAGCAGAACAACAAGCTATTGAATTTGTGTATACTCAAAACAGAAACCTAGTTTATATGGGAAATCCTTAAACTGTAAGAAATAGTAGGACAAAATGTTACCTTGCAAGAGTTCAGTAAGGGTTGGTGCGCGTGAATGATGAGTTGTAACAATTTTTATCTGCCTATGGTGAACATCCTTGCTTTGGCACCATCTACCTTCTGACTCACCAAAAACCGACTGCGTTTCAGCAGTGGGCAGCTGGATGCTGTAAGATTATGAACATTTACTGAGCCAAAGGGGTAGTGCTGGTTTACTTTGACATGTGAGTAGATTACATGGTTGAAGAAATGTGCATAAATCCATTATAACTTTGGGGAATGAAAAATGTGTGACACTAATATTTAGCTGTGTTAGCAGATCGTATGAAAATGCTATAACATGATCTTGAGGCAAAACATTATTCCCAAGGACCAGTTGTTAGTGGGAATAATGGTTAGGTGTCAAAACCAGGAAGGGCTAGCCAGACCTAATGAAGGATTAACTGAGCGTTGTTTGAAAAATGACCAGGTATGCAGTTCAGAAAAAGGATGTTCATTCTTGATGCATTCAAACACTAGCAGTGAAAAATACAGAGAAATACCAGCATGCTATCAGAGAAGAGAGAA